TATTGTATAAGTACTGTGTACATGATCAAATTATCTTCTAATTTTATCTGTACTATCCTGATATATGTCTTTTATACTGTTTGCAATATTACTTTGACAACTTTAGTCTAACATACATATTTCATTTTCTGAAAGTTTCAAATGTGTTCGAATACTTTCATGAGCCATTGTAGATCTAATGAGTTTATGATAATATATACTCTTTATTGGAAATATGTATGCAGATGTTTGGAACATCTTGGTTAGTATTATATAACTTCTCAAATTATGTTATGGATTGGTATTATATAATACTTCAACTAAGATACATCAGACTATGTTTACATATGTCTTGATAAAATGAATTGAGGTGTTTGCAAACACTTATTATATGGTTATGTAAATCAGAACAACCTGGGAGTCTTGACTTCTAAAAGTGAAGATAAATAAATCTTCGTTAAATGCAACATGCTGTTATCTCTTCTTCAGAGTTTTCAGTACTTCTGGGAAATGGAAAGATGTAAGTAAATTAAAGGCACACTTCTTTTTGAAGAGAGAATTAAAATAAATGTGAGATAATCCACGGTTGAAGGACAAGAGTATTCTGACCAAAACATTGATAAAGATGTGTTCCAGACTGGAGTAAAAGTTTTGTATGTAAGAAAGATATTATGCGAAGATGTTAAATGAAACTCGAGTAGGCGAGACATAATACATCTATGCATTCATAGTGAATTTATTATTTTTGGATTATGCAACTTTCACATTAGCTTTGAGTTATAATACAGTAGTATGTTTAAATTATGGACAAGTAAAATAATTGTACACTTCAAGTTTCAAATCAAATTTAATATCAATATCTGTTTAATTTGATTATTAATTAGTCTTACATTTTAATTTTAAGAAGTCAAAAGAAATATATGATAATATTTAAATTATGTTTTACTTTTTATATGACTGTAATAATTAGAAATATTAACATAATAAGTAAGAGATATTTATTAAGAAGTGTAAAAGAATTAAAGGTTGCATAGTCTATAATAACACAAATTATACTAATATTATATGACTAAATAAATAATGTTATTTTTACAATACAGGTGAAGGAGTTACTGATGAGCTTTGGGCAACTGAGAGCATTCAATCTAGTAAAGGATTCAGCTACAGGTCTATCCAAGGGTTATGCATTCTGCGAGTATGTTGACGTGTCAATGACTGACCAAGCAATTGCTGGATTAAATGGAATGCAGCTGGGAGACAAGAAACTCATTGTCCAACGAGCTAGTGTAGGTGCCAAGAATCCTATGATTGGTGCACAAGCTCCAGTTCAAATTCAGGTGCCTGGATTATCTATGGTGGGCACAAGTGGACCAGCTACTGAGGTAAAATAACTTGAATTATAGTTAAAATAATAAAAAAGAATAAAAAAAATTATAATTTAATAATTACCTGAAGAATTAATGGAAGAAGAAGAATATGAAGATATTTTAGAAGACATTAAAGAAGAATGTAATAAATATGGTGTAGTTCGATCTGTGGAAATACCAAGACCTATAGAAGGTGTTGATGTACCTGGATGTGGGAAAGTATGTTTAATAATATAAATAAATCATAATTTCTTTTGGTTTGCAAACATATATTAAAAAAATTTATTTGTTATTTTTGTTGTAGGTATTCGTCGAATTTAATAGTGTGATTGACTGCCAGAAAGCACAGCAGACTCTTACAGGACGAAAGTTCAATAATCGCGTTGTCGTGACATCATACTTTGATCCTGACAAGTATCATCGCAGGGAATTTTAAATTATAGATCTTCTTTCTTTCATACCAATTAATAATTGACTCTAATGTATAATACATATTGAACGAATAATCTAACGAGCCGGAAAACTAATAATTCTCTTTTATCAGAATGTACAAAACGAAATATAATGATTTTCGATCGTCCTGTGCATTAAACGGTAATTGTTATAATTTACGAATCTTTCGATGACATAACAATATATAAATAATACGTAATTTATAAAATGATATTTCCCGAGTCTGTGCTGATAAAAAAAAGGCTGCAAGGGATGTGATTGTACGAATAGCGATATCATTTTCAATAATCAATTAGTGACATTAAAATAATAAACCATTGTCAAAGGCAGAATGATATAAAAATAAATAATACATTGTCACTGTGTTCATATAAAATTTTTTCTGCCAAAACGTTTTAATGTGGTCTACGTCCTTGCTGAAGTATAAATGAATGGATGATCCAACGAGCACTAATTAAATAGTTTTAAGCCTCGTTTTGCAATGCAGGTTGATACGAATGTCTTTCCCCAGCAGTAGCATTGTCAATTACGAATTTTTGTAACAGTACATATAGTCCACCACCGGCAATCAGCATGCTGATTCCTATCAGAAGTACTATAGACCATGCTGGTATCGCGGTTCCCCCTAAAAAATGTTACATACTTGGTTATTTTATATATTACTTTATTTCTTTTTTCTCTTTTGTTTCTATATTTTCCACTTACAGTAATAACGTCTTGTAATCGTTTTTCGACCCCTTAAAATTTTACGTCTTGCTTCAACTCCATCCATAAAGACACCCATGATTACTGTGTAAAATTGATAAATTAGTACAAAACATTGTTTTACTTTTTTAACATTTTTGCAAATTATTTACACAAATATATTAAATACAGTAAACAAATTAATGATCCTTCAATTCAGCTTATACTTGTAATACCTTTGTAGGTATGTTCAATCATATCTTGTCTGATTAGATTTACTCTACTTTACTGTATTTGTTTTACAATTTTTGTAAGTTGTTCGATGTTAATTTTGTAAAATTACCTGTTCAATAACATTATGTGTAAGTATTTTACTGGTAATGTTTTATTTAATGCAATTTCGTATTTTGTCTGCTTGTAAATAATTTAAAAGGTTCTCAGAAAACAGTCAAATTATTTCGAAATATTTTACATTTTTAGAATATAAAATAAGGAAGAGGTATGAAACGCGTAATAAATGTTTCTAATAAGTATTTTAAGAATATTGGGTTTCAAATATTACACAAATTAATGTATTTACTTACACAAACCAATGGTAATGTAACACAATAACTTTTTGGAACACATTGTCTTATAAAAAATGTGCAAACGACGGTAAATAATCCAATTAAATCAAAAAACACTTGCAGATAGAATAATTAAGTGAAAACGTTCAAATTACGTTAAAATACGTAGACGATATGAAAGTGAATCGTTGTGAATCAACGTTATGATAAGAAATAGTGATAACAGGTGGAAAATGCACCTTATCTTATGTTCACAAAAGATAAGAGCATTCTTAGTACGAGGATATATCGGATTTACAAACACAGCTAATATATATTTTGTTAATTAGTATTTTCAATTTATTAGCTGAATCTTTAGGAATGAATACTGATCACTGTTGAATAAGTTCGTAAATAAATATTTAACATTTTTAGATAATTAAATTTTTTTAGTGTTTTTGTGGGTCAAATAAGCAGCAATGAAACCTTTTAAGGAACAAATAAATGAGATCAATTTTTTAAATAAACTTGAAGAACAGCTTAGTTTAGTTAAAATAAATTTATACAAACATGATAATATATGTACAAGTTTATATAAAATATTTCATTGGAATTGTACAGCATTAATTTAAGGCGATTTAAAAGTTAAGAATTGAATTTTTTGCCTGACATTGAATAAGCATCAAAACAAATGTGGGAATCCAGAATGTAGTTGGAATCTAATGACGCGGATATGAAGATTATCGGGAGCGCAGGTCGAAAATTCGGGTGAGTATGGGTAGGATCTATTAAACAGAAAAGATCTACAGTCAGTTATTATTTTTTAATTGCATACTGACTTTTTATTAAATAAAAATCAAAGAAATCAAGTTACAAGTAATAACTTATTACATGATCGTTGTAATAGTACATCGGTCGATACCAACAAGAAAAGATTTTCAGTTAAATTTCAAATCAAATAACTATATTTTTTTAAATACACGAAACAATGTTAATAGAGTAACATACTTAATTGAATTCATTTCTTATCCTTAGGAATATTTATTTCATAGAAATGTGGTAAGTTGCGTTAAATTTGATTTTTAATGGTTATATATATGGTTATGCATAGTGTTCCAAAGGACCGTGAAAAACGATTATTGGAGTAAATATCTAAAACTGTTGGTACCGACGTATTGTATGCTGACTCAAATAATTAAATATTTTCTATTTATTTTTTTTTTTATATAACATTAAAGTAATTTACGACGAAAATAAAGCTCTATGCAACTTACGAATATAATACCATAATAATATAAATAGGAATAGCTGGCACATATACAAGGCATTCCAAAACATCACATTTCACAATAACAAGCTCCTTCCTGCCTTAAACGGCAGCATTCGCATCTTTTCTTCCTCTCTCGTTATTTTCTTTATCTAGTTTCGCTATCTTTCTACTTAATACATTTTCTCTCGCGCTCTTTCTCTCTCTCTCTCTCTCTCTCTCTCTCCCTTTCTTCCCTAGAAACTGTAGTTTCCCTGGTATATCTCTGTTTTTGTTCTTTTCACTTTTTTGTTTATATATTCAGCACCATGTGATTTCAAGGAAACTTTCACGCAAATACATGCTTTTTGTTCATTTTCTGGTCTCCGTACCCGTGTCGAGTACACCCTGTTAACGCAAGAATTCCAGTCGCTGCATTTTGTGGCGATTATTTAACGACACTGCATATACGATCAAAGAATATCAAATCTGCAAATTTATCGCAGTAGAGATAATCTTCGACGTGTACAGTATTACGCGATCGTATATCCTTCATTAACACGCAAATTCCTTGCTACAGTATACTCATTACATATTCAACGGAAAAATAAATTATTCGATATAATTGAAACAATATAAAACATATATTGCGTGCAGACGTTAAGTTCTTCGTTTTTTAAAGCTAACTAGAATTTCACGCGAGCGTGGAACATGAATTTGTGCATTAATGTTTCAAGTCGCGCGCATACTGACATATCTGGTACCGCAAGTTTCACGAAGAAACGATTATTCGAAGAATCAATATAACGTCTTTTAATTTTCATTCACATTCTCGGATAATTAGTTAATAGGATTAAACACCACCTAGTAACAAAAAGTTTATGATTGTTTATTAATACATAAATATAAGCATATAAATAAGAGAAAAAAATGCATTGTATAAATGTAACTTAGAAATATACAAACATATTTGGAAGTAAGCCATCCTTGAGAGAAAGAA